CTTCTTTTCTACCCGGGGCTGCCTGACCATCACCACTTCTCCAACATCACCCTCACTTCACCTCTTTCCTCCACACCTTCTCCTCCTTCCCTCCTCCTCACTCTCTTCCCCTCCCCTCCACCATCCGGGCCACGACCACATCGACGCAAGGCCGACAACCTTCTGGACGACAAAGACAGCATCGGCCCTGACTGATTGACAGACCCTGCGCATCCCTGACCCTCAGGCCACACCTTAATCGAGGGAACAAGGACGCTGTTCATTAATAAAAAGAGGGAGGACCATAATTATACTCGGACTCTTGCGCACCCGGTCGCTTCGTTGCTCTTGTCTCAAAAGGTCCCCAATTCTTATCCTCAATCATCGCGCTAGTTGTCTCTAGGGGCAATCATCTCAGTCACTGGTCCATCGGTGCTTGGCTACTCTCGGCTGCCAGTAATTATTCGCCGCGTTCACTCTTGGGTTTTCACATCCGAACCCTTTCGCCCTCTTTCCCCATTCACACTTGGCGCCAACAAATCTCGTACCAAACGCCACGGCCCGGCCTACTTACCTTCCCATTCTCTCTCTCCCACCTCCCGGCCTCAACCTCATTCGACTCGGCACCTATTTTGCGGCTTTCACCCCTCCAGTTTCAAGCAACGATAGTCGATACTCTTCGGACCAGCTGCGGACAACTCTCAAGGTCATCGTCAACGACTCCTGCGGTCTCCCGCTTGCCTGCGTGGTCGTGTAGGACAGGCACAGCATCTTACCTTTGGGAGCACCTTTTAACCTTTCCTCCCGCCGCCCACCGACCGATCCAGACGTCAGATGTCAGCCCCGTGAGCGTCTGACTCCAGCAAGTGTAAGTCCAGAGTCCTGAGAAGCCCAGCCATTGGTTACGAGTTTATTTTGTGAACCTAAAATTACTTCTTCCCCCTCAATCTCGAATGTCTATACTGACCGAAAATCTCTCAGTACAATTGTCTATCGGGACGGATCCATCATGCCTTTCACCGAACGAACGACGAGATGCTTGGGCATCTTTGCCTTGGCGCTATCATCGTGGGCGACAATGGCACAGGCTGCGCCAGAACCCGAAATCCTCATGCCTCGACAATTGACGCAGAACCTCTGCTCTAATACGAACACGGCATCCATGAGCGCAAGTACGTTGGAGTCCTTCCAAGAAGACATGACAAGGCAACGCTACTTGAGGCTTTCAACATCCTCGGCCAGCTCTGCCTTTGCCTTCCTCTGCCCACGCGCATACAATGGCTAATTCACATCTATAATAGATCTCAGCACATGGCAGACGAATGGACTATGCACCGACTTCTGTCGAGACAAGAACTACGCCTTTGCCATTGTCCAGTGGCAGTCCTGCTGGTGCTCTGATGTCGCGCCGGCCGCGTCCAGCGAAGCCGAAGTGAGCGACAAATGCAATGATATCTGTCCCGGCTACGACATCGAGCACTGCGGCTCAAGGCCCAACTACTACGGATACCTGACGCTGGCGAAGACTCCTACCAGCACCGCCGGCAGCGGAGGTGACAGCTCGTCATCGTCCAAGGCAGCAGCCAGCACTACTACACAAGTGAGTACAATCCCCTCAGCCATGTATCGTGAATTGCATGCGTGATTCTGCGTGATCTCCATACCCTACACGATCCCGAACCTCATCCCCAGACTCCATCGTCTCACCTCCACCACGTGTGATGCCTTGGCTTAATCGTCTGGAAACCAGGCCCCTCCGGCCCCGCCTGCAACAACCGTACAAGTCATCACAACAGTAAAAACTGAGACAATTCAGAACACAGTCACGCCCGATCCGGAAACGACGACTACGTCAACAACATCTGTATGCTCTCAAAAGTCCCAACAACATGCCGTGCCCGTAAACCTGCATTTGACAAATGAGGGGGTGTGTCACTGACACGAGCAAACGCTGACTGAAAATCCAGACTTCGAGTAGTAGCAAACCGAGATCGACGGTTCAAACGGTGACAGCCGACGGAACCGTGAGGACCATCTTCGTTACGCCGACTGCCACGGGCACCGAGGGAGCAACGGGCGCCTCCGAACTGACGCCCGGCAGCCAATCGTCGTCGAATGGACCCAGCACCGGTGCTGTTGTTGGAATCGTGGTTGGTGTTATTGCCGCTGTTGTGGCCATTGCAGGACTGGGACTCTTCTTGTTTTTCAGACGTCGGAGACAACAGCAAAACGAGAACGACAAGTACGACGAGCCTAGCCATCGTGGTAGTTCCGCCGGCATGACCGGCTCGCCACGAAACCCCGAAATGGTTGTCACTGTTGATGGAGGACGATGGGATCCCGACGCCTCAAGCGATCATCGCCGGAGCCGCCTTCTCGCTCATGACCCTCGCCTGGATCCTCTTCCGAGAGGCCTCTACGTGCACAACAAGAGTGCAGAGAGTATCAATACCCTACGCGACGACCAAGATTACTCCCGCAAGGTTCATCAACCAGTCTTGCGGGCGACCAATCCGGATCCTGACACTTGAAGGTCGATGGATTGATCGGGCGGACCAAGACAACGAGATGTCATACACTCGTTTACGACGTACACGAATTCGGTCCAGGTACCAATTTTCGGTCTTCGCATTGCGTTTTTGAGATACCAGGACGGCGTTTCCATTCATTTAACGACTCTGCATAGAAGGATTCTGGATTGGGTGGCCCTCGCGGCAACACCAGGCGTGATAAGGTTGATCAGTTAGGATCGACATCCGCCGCAGTACATTATGGGCATAAGGCCACTGAACACGAACACGAACACATCACATGGGCAACACGAACGCAGAGGACGACGGCTGCCATAATTTCAATTCTCTATCTCCCCTTTCGACTGGCGGTTTGGGAGTTGTCGACCGCCCAAAGGCGATCCTCCACATCGGCGGGGTTTCTTTACAAGGCCGAGGCAAGTGATCGTAGACGAAGAGCCCTGCCTTCCCAGTACGAGAGTCGGGCTACGATTCTTAGGGTATGACGATGGCGGCATTTGTACATACACGAGCGGGCCATGAGCCAACAGCGAAACGACTTGGACAAATTCACGATGGATGGATGGGTGAGATTGGTTACAAATGGTAGCAGTTTTGGCACCATTCCTCTTTCCATGGGCACACACTTGTGGGTGATGATGCATCCACGACACGTCATAGAGTGACCCGGGACTGCGGAGGCTGCACGAAGCTGGTCGAGCTGAGCCCAAGATGGAGGCCTCGCGTCGAGGTTACAGGCTGTGTAGCCCATCACCGGATGTCTTGGGGGACCGAACAGCAGACTGTGCACAATGGTCACTGGAGCGGAAGAAAAGTTCTGTAGCTAGTTACGACAATCATAATATCAATCGAACGCGTACAAATGATGCATGTCTTCGCCATATGGTGTACAATGAGTATGTGATGATCATGAGTATCGCGTCAAGACAAACGCCGCAGTCTCGGGCAACGCTTCAAGAGCCTTTCTCGATGGGTCGGACCGGGGCCGGCGAGGAAAAGCCTCGGGGACTCGAGTGCGTATGTGTGTGCGTATCGGATACGGGAGTACGGGGGATGAACGTTGCAACGATGGACGGAGGCACATGTTGGATGAATCATAGACGGCACAGGGCACAGGGGTTCAGACTCTTTTACTGCTTATGATTGTTCGCGTAGAGCCTTGCTGTTGGAGGACCAAGGTTGGTTGGAAGGATTTTGTTTGTGCGTTGTGAGGAAACCTGAAAACTTGGAAGTTGTGTACTTCGTACTTACTTGTACTGTGGTAGAGAGAGGGAAGAAGAAGGAGGGTCGGAAGAGGTACGGATAGGTCACGGCCGGGGAGGGGGGGATGGGCGGAAGCAAGGCGCGGTCGATCGCAACTTTTCGATGTGGGGTGAGTTTTGTGCTCTGAGCCTCTGATGGAAATCTCGTAGACGGTAGCCCTGATGAAGATGCATGTTGGGTTTTTTTTGTTTACGGATACCTGACTTCAATGTATGTGTGTGTGTGTAGGTGGCGGGTTGATGTCATTGGTAATTTGGCGGCAAGGGAAATTTTGGGCAGCTGGTGAGCGTGATTAGATGCTGCTGGTGTTTCATTCGATTTTCAAGGGGGGTGTTTTTTTTTGCGGAAAAGCTTAGCGTTTAGTTTTGGATGCGAGGACAAGGAGAGAGCGGATTTCGGAGGTGGGTAATATGATCTGATTATCTGGGTTCGGGGTGTGGATGGAATGAATGGAGACAGAATGGATTACTGTTCATACGGAGATTGTGGGTGTACATTTCACATGCCTAAGCAGCTACCATGTATGCTGACTCCCCCGACGGAGTTGACGATGGTAAAGTCCATTGTTCCATGTCCCCTTTTTCGCCGTAAGTTGCAGTTGGTAGTTAAGAGGGAGGTCGGTTGAGTGAACTTTCTTAGCAATGGGTGATCTGATGATTCCACGTGTTGTTGTGTTTGGGAGTTTGCCTCGTTACTAAGTCATTTTCCGTGTACCGTAGATCATTCCCCTTTTCCTAGTATTGTTGATCGGAGGTTCGAGATGAGGCTCAATCAAGCCGGACGGACTGGCGTCATGCGCAAAATAGTTAGGTATGCAGATTCTTTTTGGAGCGGACTGGCAGCGCTAGGAGCCTTGGTGTCTTCTTGATCGGACGCGTTCCTCGGTGGACGGGGCTTCCAAGGAAGGAGGCGTCGATGGTGGCACTATTTCTCCCCCCCCCCCCCCTCACCCCTATTTCACGACCAGAATTACCTACACTGCGTTTTTGAACCGCTCTGGGGATCTGATGGCGGATTTGAGGCGTCCGTGTTTAAGTGGCATAAGCATACTTTCATCAACCGTGGGAGCCGCGAGGAGCGAGGGAAGGGATTGATGGATCGATGGGAGGCTGCATGTTTCGAAACAAAACCGAATCAGATGACGGGGGAGGGGGAGGTCATTTGGGGCTGAAAAGTAATGAGGTTGTTGTTCGAGATGGGGGCGCGTTTTAGGGTGGTAGTACAAAGTCACAGCCGAAACTGAGTTTCGGAGGTGAGAGACATTGAATATGGGCAAGGTGAGATTGGAAGGGGCGAGTACATACCCAAACAAACAGAGGATGATGAACAGCACATGAATGATGAATGGCAGGCTGCACTTATTCTGTGTATGTACGGAGGAGTTGAAGATGTTGTGAAGAGACTGGGCAGATTTGATGGGAGAGAAATACGCGGTCGGTTTTTCGTATACGAGTAATACGAATAGGTAATGTTGGTTTGACTCGTATTTTTGATAGAAGAGGAGCGCAAATGCCAAAATGAGATGGGCCTGGAATGCGAGAACCAAGGTACTGTCGACCGGGGCTATAGGTATACGACGACCGCGCCTCAATTGTGGCTGACGATGTGGGAATAACCTCTTTCTGGTTGGCATGGACAGAGAGTATTTTTGAGATGGGAACTTGTACGGATATCGAGTTAGGGTATCCGTACGGCGGAGAGGTGTGCGGAAAGTGGGATGTCGTCGCGTCTCTAGGAACATAAAAAAGGAACATGGGGGGCAGGCTTGGCACGTTGGCATTGACTTTTTCTGCTTCGTCGTCGTGGTCCCGGGGCCGCGGTAATTAATACATAGTATGAGTGAGGCAGAATCGCGATGATGATTTGGTGGTATCCCTGAGGGGATGGTGAATGTGCTTCTCTTTCTCACTAGTGTCTTTTTCGTGCATCGGGTTTCCCCCGTTCTTTGGGAGGCCTGTGACGTCGCATCTGTCAGTCCGTCCGGTGTTCGTCTCATTGCGATGGGCCGTGTGTTTGATCAGCCGCCTGGCGGCGGCGAGGAGGGAGGGAGAGAATTTTGCTGTGCACGAGACTGAAAGATTGCTCGGACGAAAAGAATGACGTTGATTGAATGTGCTCGAGGTTGATCGAGGCCGAGTCCCTGCATCATCAAAAGATCAGTGCATGGCAGTCAAAATCCATCATGCCGCTGTGCGTGCGCACCCGCTGCACATCCCATCCGCGGTGGTCATATCGGGGATTTTAAACAGCCAGTGAGAGTCGGTCTTGTTCCGCAATTCGTTCATAGCTTCGAGTCTTGGGTCGCAAAATAAGTAGGGATCAAATTTTTCTAATCTGCTCTCCTTCGTTTCCGAATTCTAAAACGCCGCGCGGGAGGGACAAGATTTGAGGAAGGGGCCCAGGGAAGGGGGAGGAGGGAGCCCGGCTGTTTGGTGTTGGATCCCTGTTCATAGCCCGTCGCAGTGCTCCGTACGGCGAGGGAAAAAAGATTGAAATAAGAGATGGTAATGAGATTGCCCCGTACGAGTGACGCGTTCACATTTGCCCATAGGAGGTACGAATAAATACTCTGATGATGTTGATTTCGCAACGGTGAGAGTGTGGCGTAGATGTATCCAGCATAAGGCAGACGATGCTGCAAATAGATGTCTTCGGTAACCGGCACTGATCATAGCGAGGCGGTGACGCTCTTTTGCATTGAGCATCCGATGTTGGACGATGCAGTTTTGGTGAGGTGGATTTGAACAATGATGCTGTTCCACGCGCGCCACGGCTGTGTACTGCGTACTTTGGTACGGCTGAGCAGCCCCAAAAGTCGAGACGAAAAGGGCCATGTGAAGGGGAAACCCCTGAAGGGCGGCGCTGCGTTGTCCCGGAGGCGGGAGGGATCTCGCTGCTGACTGGATGCCGCCGTCGTCAGCGGCCCTGTAATCTTAGTGCGTCCGCTCCGTCGTCGACCCTTGGCACTCAGCCACTTGGCAAACGGCCCCGGACTCTTTCCATTGCCTTAGCACCCACTGGGCCGCTGCACCTTAGGTAATGCATCTCGAAGTACCCGGTACCCCTGGTCCCCTACTAAGTTACGGAGTACCTCCTACAGCTTGAGGAAGGAAGCATGCTCGTTGCTTTGGTGCTTACCTCCTGAGTAACGGGTTGTATGTCTCTCGCCAATTTCCCCCCCTCCAAGTCTTGCGCTTTCGTCATTCTTCTTCCCTCCTTCCAAACCCTTCACCACAACGGCCGTCTCCTTGGTGCGCGTCTGTCTACTCTTCCGATTCTGCCTTGCTCTTTTGTTTTTGCTTCTTGGCCGCGGGAATCCTCCATCGATTGACCGAAACTACCTTCTTCATACCACACTGTATTTTATTCAACGTCACACTCCCGATAACGAAGACCGAAACGATACCCCGAACCCCGACCAACGACGAAAAGGAAAACCCCCAGCTCTGTAATTGCGCGCGACGGACCGTTAGTATTTCTGTGGAATCTTGCAAGAGGAGGATCGACGTGCGACTACATTACTGGGCGCGGACTGGGGAAAGACAATCCCTTCTGAACCACTCGGCCACGATCTTCTAGCACCCACAGAAACCCACAACCGTACTCGTCTCGTCTCAGAGGGAGAGACACGGCGCGAATTGAAGGGAGAAATTCACTCTGAACCGGTAGAATTATAACGAGGAAGCCATCCCGAAATACGACTCCGTCGTTTTGAATTCGAAATTCGACCTTTTCCTTCTCCTCTGCGAGTCCGTTTGCGACCACGCGACCCGCCCCAAACGCAATCCAGAGCCACCAGGCGACCAAGCTCTGCCAAGACCGGCACCCGCTCTGTTCCTGCAGCGCACCAGTCTTGGCACAACCGTTAAACCCCAACCCACCGCCCTCATCCACACCGACATCGTCATCGTCTACTCCGTTCCACGTCGCTTATAGTCCTCCCGTAACCCGCTGCCATAGTTTGCGGGCCTTCCGTTCCGTACACGATACCCCGTCCTCCGGAGGTCACCCCTCGGCACGGTGCTGAGCTGTCGTCGCCATGAATTTAACGTGTAATTCAACGCTCGAAGAGCTGAGGAGTATGTCACTCGACCCTGAAATCCCCTAACCCTATCCCCGTGAGACATCCGCATCGTGCAAGAAAACTAACAAGCCCTCTTCTCTCTCAGTCCTCCCCGGCTCCGAGATCCTCATCGCTGGTCCCCTGACCTTCCACGACCTCGCCCTGATCATTGCCGGCTCCTGCACCATCATCGCAATATGCCTCTCCTTCTACCTCGTCTTCATGCACTCGATCAACTATACCAAGCCCCGCGAGCAGCGTCAGATCATCCGTATCCTCTTCATGGTCCCCGTCTACGCCGCCTCCTCATTCCTTCAACTCTGGTACTACTGGCACGCGGTCTACTTCCAGCTCATGAGCGACTGCTACGAGGCTTTCGCCATCGCATCCTTCTTCTCGCTCATGTGCCACTATCTCGCCCCGGATGTCCATACCCAGAAAGACTACTTCCGCAATCTTTACCCCATCAAGCCTTGGGTCTGGCCTCTCGATTGGTTTGCAAAGTGCTGTGGAGGACAGAGAGGACCCTGGCGCACGCCCAAAAGCGGCTTGACCTGGTTCAACGTCATCTGGATTGGTGTATATCATTACGTCTTTATCCGCGTCGCCATGACTGTCACGGCCGTCGTCACCCAATACTTCCACCGCTACTGCGAAAGCTCAAATAACCCAGTCTTTGCTCACATTTGGGTATGTTTTATTTGCCCCTAGGCCATCTGGAGTTCTTCACTAACAGAAACAGGTCATCTCGATCAACTGTGTGGCCGTCACTATTGCCATGTACTCCGTCATTCAGTTTTACGTCCAGATGAGAGAACCCCTCAAGGAGCATTCGCCCTTCCTCAAGGTCCTTGCCATCAAGCTTGTGGTCTTCTTCTCTTTCTGGCAGGTCACCTGCATTTCCCTCGCCACCTCGACGCTCGACCTTGTCCACCCGAACAAAGTCCTGGCCTACCCGGACATCAAAGTCGGCATTCCCGCCCTTCTTCTGTGTTTCGAAATGGCACTATTCGCCCTCCTCCATCTTTGGGCCTTCCCTTACGCCCCTTATGTCCCGGGCGCCAAAACCACATACTACCCGTCCGCGGACTCTCGAGATAGCCACGCTCCCCTCCGCGAAAACGTCCATACGGCCCCCGCCGGCGGATGGATGGGTCTAAAGGCTGTCGGAGACGCCCTTAACCTGTGGGACTTTGTTAAGGCCTTTGGTCGCGGCATGCGCTGGCTGCTCTGCGGTGTCAAGCGCCGCCACGAGGACCCTAGCTACAAGACCGCAGCCAGCCTCGACATGGACGACCTCGACAAGGGCGGAGACACGGGGTACCATCCCGCCGGTGTCAAGAGCACCGATCACCTTCCAATCGCTACCGAATTCCGCCGCAGCACATACCTGCAACCCTCGCGACCACCTCCACGACCCCAGCGCCCTGGTAACGAGAGCGACAGCCTCATCGCCCACGCCCAACCGAATCCCTCGCAGATGTCTCCGCCACGCCGTCCCGCGCGCCCGGTGTCCCCCTTGTCGCCCATGTCGCCAATTTCGCCCTACCAAGACCAGAGCTTCCAACAGCAGACGGGCATGACGCCAGTACACTCGGCACACCCGGGGCCCAGCAACGGCGAATGGGGGAGAACGGGGCCGGCAGCACCAGCAAATCTGGGTGTCGCAGGTCCCCGCGACTTGACGCAGCAAAGGGTAGGAGAAGCGCTTTGGGGACCACCACAAAGCCCAGCAGCCGCCTCCATCATGCCAGAGAGTCCCGTTCTTGGATCGCCGATGAACGGCGCCTACGGACATCCGGCCCTTCAGCAACAAGCATACCAGAACCAGGCGTTTGGCAGTCAGCAACAACCGCATGCCAGTCACCCGTACGGGAACCAGACGCACGAACAGCAGCCGGGGCCTGGTCAGGCTTTTTAGACCGAGCCATGTATATAAGATTTTTATTCTTGGACAAAAGTCACAGATCGCGACGGTTCACATGTTGGATAATAGTCAGCGGTCTAAGAGGAACTGCTGGAACCCTTTCACGACTATAAGGTTTGAGGGAATTCGTTTGGTCTTTTTGGGGGGGGTTCAAGGTGGGAGGCAATGCATAGGAAAAATCGGCGTTTATTTGTTTTTCTTTACGAGATACCACATCATTTAGCTAGGTGGGAATGAACATACACATTTACAAACAATCTTGAATGGTCCTGGCGCTGTCAACTTGGCTATGAGATCTCTACCGTGATTGATGCTCGTTGGCTAAAGCACTGATGTATCCACACGCTTTAAAAGTAAGAGTAATCACACGCTTGCCCAGTTTTCTACATGCGAGATCCAAAAGTCGATTTGATTTGTAACGTAAGCGACAGTAGATACGCCTTCACATTCGCCGTGGTAAACTAAACACAAGATACAACAAATTTGCCTCTCCCCTCCGATAAAATATCCCATGATTTGTCCGTCCCTCAATATTCAGATCCCCCGTCACGCCGAACGGGAAAAGGCCAAAAGACTCCCAGATATTTCCATTGTATACACTGTTTGAACCCACCACCCCCCCTTCTTCCCATTTGACACACAC